TCCGCCATAGCCACCACCAAACAACTGAGTTATTTTTACACATCGGCCAGCATCTGGCCAATCCACCATCTCATTGTTTATACCGTTACAAAAAAAAAAATCATCGGAAACCTCGATAATCGAAACCTCCACGTTCAGATTTGTAATAACAAGCAAATACAAAAACTTCTTCTGTTATTTTGTCTGAATTGGTTTGAAGTTTTTTTTTCTTTTTTCAAAGGTCTAGTTTTTATTTTAATTTTATTTAACAGAAATGTTTTTTTCACAGTAGTTTTATTTTGAAGGGGTCAGGCTTTAGCTTTACTTTCAGCACCTCTGCAGTAAATGTCCTGCTCTGTCCTCCAGGAGACGCTGATGGGAGTCTGGGCCCAGGCTGAGCGAGCGAGGCAGAGAGAGAATGAACCAGCAAAAGAGAGAGAGAGAGAGCGCGCGCAAGAGGAAAACGAGAAGATCGGAAGGGAAACCGGTCGAAAACAAGGGAACGAGTTCTCCAGACACCCCCTGAAGCTGGGGACAGACCAAACCCCTGACATGAACACACACAGGAGAAGGAGAAGAAAAAATGACAGGGGCAGGGAATTGGGTCAGAGGTCAGGGGGTCAGACAGGTGGCTCTCTTTCTTTTTTGTCTGTTACCTGAGATGACAAAAAAACACAACTGTCTGAACCAGAGAACGAATTAGAAACAGCTGACCTGCAGACTGATGGCGAGACAGGCAGGGAGAGGCGAGATCGGCTCACCTGCTGCCACCACTGCACCAGGCAGAGGAAAAAGTGACTCGTCTTTAGGAGTTGAAATCTGCGAGTGCACAACTTTTACATGAGACTAGCAAGGGATTTTTTTGTTTGTTTGTTTGATTGATTGATTTTTGACTCCATGAACAGCTCAGTCCAATTCTGTGCGAAGCAGCAAAAGACGAATGAGTTGGGTGTTCGTAAACTGACCAGTGATGCAGAGAAAGATGCGCTAATCGAACAGCGACCGATGGTGTGCAACGAGCTGATTTATAGCTTTGTGTCGCTTCTTAGTTTTACTTAAATAAAAATGAAACCGTGGATATGTCTCACAGGTATTTTTTGATCAACAGTTACATTTTTAAAAGACGTATGTCACAGTTATTTTCTAGAGTTCATTACAGTTCATTTCTAATCATCACATAATTGTTATTGATTAGGTACTTACTCTCCTATACACTCTACAGATTATAGCAAGACCTTTAAAGGCGACCTATTAGTCTCATTTCCTGCTTCATGTAATTATTCTTGGATCCTCTCAGAGTAGCTTTGCATGATTCACAGTTAAGCCAGCTGTCTTCTGATTGGCTGCCCCTCCTAAGCCGGTGGATGGAGCCTGTGCTTTTGGCTCAATACACTGACCTCATTATTAGAATTTATTTTTCTTGTTTAATGTGAACACCAGACATTGGGACCGGAGATTTAAGATGGAGGATAAGAAGACGTTACAAAGGTCTCTATTCCTAAACGAAATACCTTAACACAACTGTCTTCATTATTTTTTTTTTCAAAAATGTGCTATTTATTGACAGTGTGGACAGTTAACAGAGGATACCATTGTATCCACTGCATGCTTCAGTGAGCAGTTATTCAGTGAGTATATCACAGAAAGTGTCCATCTGAAGAATGACCACATTTTGAATTCATGATGTTAAAGTATTTTCTTCCAGATGTTAACCAATCAGAAGAAAGTGGGTTTTTAGGGATGCGGGAATCTTTAAAAAAATCTCTCAGCCTAGTTTGGTGAAACTAACAAAAAGTGAAGATTAATGCTCAGAAATGGACACAGACAATTTAAAGTTATATTTATGTAGAGGCAGATACCCGTGTCCTCTTCATGCTCAGCTTACTCATGCCCCCCCTGCAGACGTGACAGCGGTGTCAGGTCAGTGCTTTTGCTGCTCTGCTGAGAAATCTCCAGCTCTCGCACTGTCGGACACTTTTTGATCTCTGCTGCGTTCAGACTTGTCAGGATTGAGTGACCTGCTCAGTGGTGGACACCTGAGTGTACATATTCAGCAGTTCTTCCACTTCTACCCAGTTTGAAGATGATGTTTTTTTTAAAGTTTGCTAACATCCAGCTTGCTTTGATTTGTGACTTGTATAACGTGACAAAAGTTTTTCCAAGATAACCGTGTGCCTGAGAGTCTTCCTTAGTGATGACGTGACTATAATAGATAAATATAACTTGTTAAGCCTCTAGATATATAAATATATCCTCTGTATGCTGCTACATGAACATTTTCTGCAGCAGCTCTGTGTCTTTGCTATAGTAAAGATTACCCATAACTCAAGTTTGTCCCTGTCCAAGCTGATATTCTTTTACAGCAAGGAAAAAGCAAGAAACAGCTGCCTGCTAAAGCTTTGTCTCAGCTCATGACAAATAAAATTTACCACAATAAAAGCACAAAGTCGTCTCTCTGAATGAGGTCAGTCGTGTGTTTGAGGCATGCAAGGGTGCGCCTGTTTGTTGAGGTCTAATTACAAGGCAGCGAGAGTGGGTATTTCCTCTTTTCCCGCCCACGCCCTCCTCTAAACATTACATATGTGGAGTGCTGGAAACCATGGCCGGATTAACCGGTTAAAGGGCCATGGGGTAATCCACCAACCTATACCTCTGGGGGTCAGGTGAGTTGGAGTTTGGAGGCCAGGTAACACCTTTGGTGCTTTCTTTGAGTATAATAGGAGACCACAGCCAGCTATTCCAGGATACACTCTGAACAGGTCACCACTCTGTAACTGATACGAGTCAAACATGTGGTGACATACGGTGGTCCACATTTTTCCACTTAGCTGTCAGTGATTTGTATTTGTCTCAGGTTTATTTTCATGTGTGTGTGCAATAAAACTAGAAAACAGATGGATCATAGAAAGCCTCATTTTGATTATCACAACTGAGATTCAGTCTGATTCTGTTTCCAGAGTGGAGATGGAAATGTGATGTTTGGAGGCAGACAGGAATCAGTATGACTATTTGGCTGACCCAGGGCCAACAGAAAACCTGGTGATGGCATTTCCAGTGAGCAGACTGTTTTCTTTCTCACAGTTTTCACATTAAATTAAACAACTGTGTCTTTAAATTTGTCAGATTTCTTCTGCAAGCAGGGGGAATCAAGAGGGGAGTATTCATCTTAAAGGCTTAGTTACTTTTTTCAGTTACACAAGTGTCCATTTTTTAAAAAGTCTGATCATCTGTTTCTTCGGTGCTTCCAGCGGTCCGGTGTTTGCAGAGGGAACAAACACCGGTTGTTTAGGGTTGTTTTCCTATGTGATGCAGTGCCGAGGTCAGATCCGTGGCGGGCATAAATGTCGCGTTTGTTAATGTTCATTCAGCTCAACCTGACTGGAGAACGTGCACAATAAATCTGTTAAAGTTAAATATGAACACAGCGCCCACAGAGATGAGCGAGCATGCTCATTAAGAGAAACAATGGCAATAAAGGCAGAACATCAGTCATCCTGGGCGCTGCCACTGATGCTGCAGATTCTCTCTCTCTCTCTCTCTCTCTCTCACACACACACACCTCAGGAATGAAAGCCTCTGTGTCAAAGGCTTATGTAAGAGTCCGCAGTCCAGACAGCTTCTTTAGTGTTGCTGCTGTTTAAAACACAAGCAGCCCAGTGTGAAACGTGGAAAATGGGTCAGAAAGTCCTTCCACAATAAAACATGAACAGGGAGGGGCTGCTGCATTGCACTATAAAAAGGAGCAATCCAAAGTTTTTAGATGTAATACATCACCAGCTCTCTGATTGGCTGACCCTCACAATAGAAAGTTTTAAAACTACAGAGAGGTGGGGCCTGTGTGTCTGAGATGACCACATTAGGGATATCCATCTCTGTGACATCATAAAAACTTCCAAAACAGCAGGAAATCTACAGAAGAGAGAAAAAAAGATTCACAGTGCTACAATGGTCAATCCAGAGCTGAACCTGATTAAATGCTGTGGTGTGACCTTCAGAGATGTGCATAAACAAATGTTGCAAACCTCAATGACCTGAAGCAATGCTATAAAGAAGAAAGGGCAAATATTCCTCCACAGCCATGTGAGAGGCTGATAAAGTCATACATACAGTCACACATTTACTTCAATTGCTGCTAAAGAAGGCTCTGAATCATGGACGCTGCACAGTCCTGCAAATTAACATCTAAGGAAAGAAAACGAGGAGTTAAGCTCATGTTAACAACTTAAAAGCTGGAAAATTTTCAAGATTTCCTGCTCTAGTAGACATGCTGTACCAATATGGCTTCCATGTTGGCTACAAGTGCAAATGAGGCACCTTTGAGTCTTGTTCTATGGTTTCAAAGAGGCTGTGCAGCTTTGATGGGTAAAATTATTAAAAAAAAAAAAAAAAGTACAACCCTCAAATCTCTCAGCTGACACTACCCAGTCATTCCCCAGTTAATCAGGACAAAACAGACAAAACATGCAGACAGATGTAAGATTGTTCAGTTTAATGGGTGCAAATATTCGAGCAGATGGACTATGTACAGTTTATAATGTGGATATTTCAACAATAAGAAAGAACACCAGGCTGTTCAGTTATAGCAGCAACTTTCACACGGCCGCTCAGCTTCCCTTTAACCACACAAGAGGCACTTTTTATCCCTAATCTGTGCAGACGTGACTACTTCACAGGAACATTTCCTCATAAAGTAGCTCCATACTGCAGGTATGCACCATTAGATACTTCAACATGACTGTAGCTGAACTACAGAGAACCGGAGTCTGTAAACATAAGTTTATAAAATATATACTTCAAAAGTTACTGTAGGTAAACTACAGAGGCCGGAGTCTTGATAAACACATGCGCACGCACACACACAAGCGCGCACACACACACACACACACACACACACACACACAGAGTTAAATAACACATTTTCAAATGTCAGAAACAACATATCGAGGATGTATTTCTAGACTGTGTGGTTTTAGTGCTCGTGTTTTGTCCAATGCTATGTGCACACCCATCCCTAAAGAGCAGTTTTTAAAGTATTCCCTCTGTGTAGTAAAAAAGTAAAAGTCCTGCCCTCAAACCCAGACCACCAGTCTGTGGTTTGGTGTGGGAGGTTTGTTCATTGGAGTAAAAATATCCCCCTGCTCGGCTCGGCTCCTCATCTTCAAGGAAACAGCGTCTTTTCTTTGTTAGTCCCATACATAAGATCCCTTTTTGCTCTTTAGTGTTGATTATATTAGAAGTTTTTTTTAAAAAAGAAAAAGTGCTTTTAACTGGAAAAACAAATACACACTAACATACCACTGACTAGAAAAAATGTCCAAAGTCAGTAAAGAAAACCAGTGAAAACAAGAAAAAAGGCTCCCGTGTAACAGAGGTGATAAAGACTTCACAGTCTGAGAATCCAAGATTTAAACAGAAAAAAAAATCCCAGTGAAAATCTATCCAACCTTAAATCCAAAGAGGCTTGAGAGCCTCCAGATTAAACTAATGCTTTTGGTAAAAAGGCTAAAAAACTCATTCACAATCGGACTCGTGTCACAAACAAAGCTGAGACAGGAAGCTAAATAAATGTTTTTTTCCAAACTTTTTGGAGAGATTTAAAGCAGTTTAGCTCAGCTGCCCTGTCTATCTGTAAATCTGTAAAAGTCTGTCTTTATCCCTCCACTCAATAGAGGGAGCTATAACGAAACAACCTCCACCAGCAGGTAAAAACTGAGGATAAATCCAGAAAACAAACAAGAGTTCATCAAGACTTTTTCAGCAACCCCAGTTTCCTCAGTGCCTCTCTGCGTGATTCGTTCATCTCCCCTCGACCAGAAAACTGCACCGTGATGCCTTGGGGACGGAACATCGAGTTGGATCTTCGCCTGTTGTCTGTGGACAAGGACGTCGCAGGTTTCTGGGGAACAATGTGCCGAGGAGGTCTCGGGGCCGGTGTTGGGGCTGGAGGTTTGGAACCCCTTGCTTGGTTTTCTGAAGTGCGATATAAGCCGGTGGCCGGGTTGAAGTTTCGGCTCTTTCCTCCGTAGCTGTTGTGCTCGGGCTGCAGCAGCTCTGATTTGTAGGGCAAGGTTTGACCCCTGTCCATGTGTGAGCTAAGGATGTCGGGAAGCTCAGTCCTGGAGCCAGATAGGGAACTAGGGGTCATGACTTTGCTCTTTCCCCCGTAGGTGTTGGGATCACTGGGGTTGGAGAGTGCAGAAGCGTGGGTTCTGGGTTCATGGCTTGTTGTTGAGGGTGCAGGTTCACTCTTGGAGCCAACAGAAGGGTGGACCACGATGGATTTTCCTCCGTAGCTGTTAAGTGCCAACAAGGTCACCTCAGATGGCTGCTGGGGGATGGACACTTTGTTTTCCACAGGAGGTGGATAGGAGCTGCTCTGTGCAGCAGCTGGAGGCAACAGGCTTGGTTGGGGGTTTCTGTCGTCATTGCTCCTAGAGGAAGATGTCCTCTGAACCTCGGGTTTCCTGTCAGCATGAATCAGGCTCTGAGGTGGGGTAGTGACATGGGCTTCGGGCGATTTGGGCCCAGTTTCAGTTGTTGTTGGATGATGAGCCTCCAGTGGTGTGGGACTGCTGCCGCCACCTGTAAGAGGAACCAGTGGGGTAATGTTAGGGGTGATTTGGAGAGGCATACCCCCAGACATAGCTCGATTTCTGGTTAGCCCTAGCTTAGACAGGGCCTCCATTCTAGATTTGTCTGGTGTGGGGTCACTGAAGGAAATGCTGCGAGTAGGAACATTTCGAGGCTTCTTCCCTACAATGTGTAGAGAATCGTCCTGCAGCAGAGGTTGATTCGTACCTAGGTTTGCCAGCATATGCGCCTGTCTCTCCTGGATGCTCACATTAGGTGGTGGCTGGTTTTGACGGTCCTTGTTGCCAACGATCATGTTGATGTTGTCAGGGTAGTGCGTAGGCTTGGCAGATGTAGGAGGACCCTGCTTCACTGGATGATCTGTGCTTGGCTTTTCATCCACGCTGAGGTGGTGGAGTGAAGGAAGGAAGTTAGCTGTTCCTCCGGACTGGTTCTCAGCTATCTTCTTGGCAATCAGCACAGGGGTGGGGACACTGCCTGCCGGGTGGTAGGAAGTGTCCGTCTTCCCGGACATGCCACTCGGGAGGGGAGGGTTGTACTCTGAAGGCAAGCTGTCCATCGGATTGTGCCTTGGCTTTGTCTCAAAGTGGCTTTCAGGGGGTGGCACCATAGTCTGAAAGCCTGGTAGAAACAAATTGAAGAAGTTTCAGTCACCATGATTTAGTAGTTTAGAGATGTAATTTAATAATCTGCTTCATCTACATAAACAATTTTAAATTGACTACCCCGAACACAAACGCCAACTGCTGTACGCTACCTCGATGGTTGGGACTGAAGATCGGCTCTTTAGAGTGCACCGAATCTGCTTCCTTGTGGACCAAGTCAATAATATCGTGATCTTTGGGGTTAGTAGTGTAGGGGTTGGTGCTCATAGCCACAGGTCTAGTGACCTCTTGAGTGGCGCTTTCAAAGGGTCTTGCTCGCACAAGCTTCCAGTCGTCCTCCTCTAAACTCGCCTCCAGCGAATCTATGGTTTTCTCAAAGAACTGGATGCAGTCCTGCTCCTCCTGACTCAGGTCTTGATCATCCTGTGAAGAGATATAAAACATTTCTGCTATGTCTTCTTTGTTCCTTAACATTTTTGCCTCAAAGGTTAAAGAGTCAGGTTACTGTGAATCATTGTAGCACACACAGAGAGAAGTTTCTCCACTATTTACAAAGGGAGAGGAAGATTCGAGGGTTGCCGCTTAAGAGGGAGGCACTCTGGGTTTCTGATTTAAACACTTTAAACACCATTTTTATTGTTCTTGTTTGTTTTAGTGTGCAAAAATATTTGTGTACTTCCTGTATGTGAAAGTACATACAAAGTACGAACAAAGATTTTGACATTTTGAAACATTTTGAAATAGAACAAGCGAGTATATGCTGAATCATCCTTTTTTATTCTTCATGATTCAGTGATAAATGTTACTGATTCCCCGTCACCTGACCTGTGCTTCTGTAAAAATGTATCTGCACCCCATGTGCTTGCAAGCGACTACACATAGATAAATGCAGGTAATGGTGTTGGCCACGTGCATGAGCTACGCCATAGCCTTTACATAGATTCACTGCAGATCTATTTATGAAGTGTTACTCTAATAATGACAATAATTTACTAACTGGATTTCAGGATTTATTTAATATTATCTCAAACTAGTGACTGAGCTAGTAAAGCTATCAGGATATCATTTTACTGAGGTCAAAGGGCAAGAGAGCTGAGAGTCATTTTCCCACTGACTGCTATAACACTGGAACATTTGTACTGCCAGAGAAGTCGCCCCCTGCTGACCAATGAAAAGAATACATTTGCTGATTTTTTTTCAGCAGTCATCTTGGCTTCATGGCAGAAATTGAGGAGGCGGGATTGCCAGACACCACCTGTCATTTTGTTAGTGCACTGTCTCCAAACCAAACATTACAGGTCGCACTACCATGTGTTAAACCTTCCTGTTCACTCTCGCTAATAATTCTGTCACACTTGTCTTCACCAATCCACTCGGCCTGCACTCTCTTCTTCACCTCTCCTGTGCACTGTCCGTTGCTGCGGATGGTTGACCCTCGGGTATTTAAATTTATCCACCTTGTTCTTTCTGCCTGCCGCTCATGCACACACACATATTCAGTATTGCTTTAATTCCTCTTCTCTGCAGAAAATACCTCCACTTTGTTTAGTTTGGCACTAGCACAGCAGCTCTTTTTCCATTTACGGTAAGTTTAAATCTAGGCATGTGTTCAGTTTTGAAGATATCAAAGTTGAATGTGTCTCTAAAAATACAATTTTTTAAAAAAAAAAAAAGGGTCTTAAAACTGAGTTCTTTCCTGCAACCAGCAGGCTGACTTTTATATGTACTCCGCTCTAGTTTCCAAGAATCAGAAGAGTCAGAAAGGTGGATTATCCAAATATGCTCCCAGGTGTGCAACAATGGCAAAAAGGCTTGACTTGAGGGTTTCGCAGAATTTCTCAAACCTGCCTGTGACCTCACAGTCGCTACATCTCCCCATTTTCCTGTTTATGACTGAAACATACTGAAAAAAAGACTGATTGTTGTTCTTAATGCAAAACAAGACAAAAAAGGCCTGCTGTGGTGCTGCTTATGTCTCCTCATCACTGAGCTCCACATATATGGGTGCGAACGTTCCACGTATGACTCTCACACAGTAGGCATGTGTAGAGGGAACACAGACTTGTTTGTTCCTCCAGACTTCTTTTCCCACCCTGTTTCTGGCTCAGCTGGCCCTCCCTCTCCCTCTCCTTCTCCCTCCCTCTCTTCTGCTGGATGGCTCCCTCACCTCTTCCTCTTCACCTCCACATACTCAGAACCACCACAGCAGGGTATCCAGTGACAGCATTCAGTGGCCGCTGATTTTGGTGAGGCCTTTCTGTGGTCCTGAAACCACATGGCTTTAGGGGATCCCCTGACACAATGTGTAATGGACTTAAAAATAAATAGAGTTGGCCATGAAGAAGAAAAAAGCCTTGTTATGTGAACAAAGTGGTTCGTTATCATTTTAAATTACAGCTGGCCGGGGCAACTCTATGAAAGAGTCTAAACTCTATTTTCTTTCAAAGTTCTTCAATAAAACTGATTTTTGTGCGTGTCACCTGTGACTTTCGCTGGTTCAAATGTTCAGTGTTTCTACAAACTTGACTTCGCAAAGAAAACTCAAACACAAAAAAATCTGAATTGAGACATCTTAATTACTGAACTGGGATTCATGACCCAGGACTTACACGTGAGTACCACTGCTCTGAAAAGTGGAAAGCAGGACTTTTACACCATATTTGTTCTCTGTGAAGGTAATGACCTTCAGGCTGCAGTTGAAATGTCAGTATGGTGTTGCTGCTGAAATGAAAAGTGCCACGACCAGATTACCGAGACACCTGCAAAGACAAAGACACCTGCAGCAACACCCTCGTGAAACTAATCAGAGACAAAGACGCAGATCTGCCGGTTTCAGCTGCCGTGAAAGTCGTCCATTGTAGCAAAGCAGCTCAGGACCTAAAAAACTGCAGCTTAACCGGTTCGGCTGTGTCATGTGCTGATAATGAATCTCATCCCTGAGGCATGTGAAGGGATTATGTTGTTAGGCAGGTGTAGTTTCCTAGCTTCTGAGATGACTGGCTGCGTTGTGTAAACACGGTGTCGAGGCCTTATCCAGCGTGAAAATGCAAATTGAACAATCGGGTGTTCACCTGATACGCAGAGTCTGTTTGCTGTGGTTAATAGGACAAAAAGAACAGGACTGCTCTTTTCTCTGCCATGATGTGACCCGCTATTGACCACACAGGGGAATACTCGTGCAGGAGCCAATTAGCAGCTTTTTCTAAAGGCTGGTGGTCTTTTGTAGTTGAAAAATAGCTCCAAAATGACTGTTTTACCAACAGAAAGACTGATATTGCTGATTCCCTAAGAGAACATCAGACATCTACATCTGTCCCTGTGCAGAAATAACAGCCAAGATCAGAGTGACCTGCAATTTTATTTCAATTCAACTTGGCTGCAAAGCCATGCTCTTTTGTTCCTCTGTTAGTTGTTCAGGAGCAAAATACTAAAAAAAAAACCCCCAGACAGTAAGACCTCTTCTGGTCGAGCAGGTTACCCTTATGCTGAAGGCTGGCACAGGGGACTATTGCCCCATGGACACAACTGAACTACTCAATGGACCGATTCTTCTTTAAGATAAAAAAAACTGTTGTTTCATGTCACCAGGTTTTAGTGGATTTGACAGATTAAAAACTCTAAGGGGACTTTCCCCCCCCCCCTCCCTGACTTCTCTTGTGGTAACAAAGTTATTACGATTGCTTTAATTAAAAAAAAACAAAAAAACAAAAACACAAATCTGTTTAGTTTCAGCCTGTTTCCTCTGTGGGTTTGCTCATAAGAATGTGTGCTAAATTACAGAGAAGCAACAAAAAACTCAGCTGTGAGTAAACCAGAGTGGTTTTTGAGTACTCACGCCTGGTCTGGAGCTCCCGTTGACCTTGTAGTAGAGGTGAGATTTTTCTTGCAGACGGAAGTCCATGTCTGGTTCTGCTCTGTAGAATCATCTAATCTGCATCTGAATGAGAGTCTGCAGACACAGAGGAGAGCATGTCAGCTCAGGCTTTAGACTGCACTGAAGGCTCAGTGTCAAGCTGTTTTTTCTGCCCCTGGCTCCATGTGATATCAGGAGTATGAGCTGCAGCCAATCAGAATGAAGTTGGCTTAAAGGGGAGGAGCTAAAACAGCTGCTCTAGAATGAAAGAGTATTGATAGTGCAGTTGGCTTGACATAGATACATCTCAAGGGTTGTGCTTTTTTTGGGGGGGGGGTACATGTTTGGATTTTTTTGTGAAATATTGGACATGTTTACATATTTTGGCCTCAAACCAAGAAAGGAGGTTTTAAAATTACTAGCAACTTCTTAGGTGCTACTGCTGCTGTATAATCAATAAAAATATCTTTCAGCCACCTGGTTTTGTTATTACATGCTTTATTTGCAAGATTTCTACATTAAGTTTGTAGTAGATTTACATTTGGCCCAATAAAAAAGCAATAAAATGTAAGATTTAAAGACTGCGAGACAAAACTATATTAAGATGAATAAATTATGCTTGCGTTTGTAAATTTAGTTGTAAAGCCTTCACTTTACAGGTTACAGATGTTTCAAATAGTTGGCAGCAGTTGCAGAAAGCAGCAGTTTTGTTGTTGCAAGGTCATAAAGAGCTGGATTAATCTTCAACAACGTTAAAAACCTGTCGGATAAATGTACAGTGTTTCCTTCAGGAACGTAACGGAGCACAAGGGTAAATTTAGTCCACAGCACCTGATGGACCAGTTAACCGAGAGCAGGAAGCTGCAGAACAGGATCACAGAGCCGAAACCAACGAGCTTCTCGGCCGACACATTCCTGCTTGATGCCGCGCTCATGACAAGAACAAAGAGAAATGCTGCTTGATGAGTTTGAAAAGACAGAAATGAGGAAGTGGCCGGAGGGCCAAGAAAAATCTAAGTATAGATGAGGCGGTCACAGTGAATGAATCTGGGTCTGAAACCAGCCCGGGTTCACGTGGGTCCTCAGTCACAGCTCAGCAGGGCAATAGGTTTAGTACAACAAGCACAACACTTTGTTACCTGTCACACAGCTAAACCGGATCTGGAGGTGTGGAGATCAATTATGAACCAATTTATCTCCAAGTTGTGTAAAGAAAACCCCCAAATCAACATAACTCAGATTGAAAGTGTTCAATCTTGAGGCACAGACTCATTCTGAATATCATTGTTGGGTTAACTGCCAAAAACCTTAGATAAAAAATTAAAAACTGAACACTGCAATGGTACTTCTGTTTAAGTCTTGACTACTTGAATCCAGACTGTTCTCTTTCCACCACTGTTAAGCTATTATTGCTATTTTATAAAAGATATATAAAATTTTCTTCTTTTTTTTGATTAGATAAAATATGTATCCTTCTAATTCCTTCTAATCTAGAATAATTTCACGGTCACAGTTAGGGAGCAGCTGGGTTGCTCTGGCTCAGGACCTGTAGGTGTTAAATGCTGAATCGATGATGAAACAGAGGAGTGTTACTGCACAGTTATGAATGAAACCAAACCCAGGCAGTTATGCGCACTCATTCCTCTGTTATCAATATTAATATTTCTCCTGAGTCCATTATATTTAAGAATCTTTAGATTTTCTTTGGTTTATTTACATTTCTTCATGATTATTGATAAATTGATGTAAACAACTATTTTTAATGGGTTTTTTTTACACTGACATGCTGTAAATGATCTTTGCTTTCAACATTTGAAATACAGCACATTTTTAATTACTCATGAACTTAACTTCTCCTTTAAAGGATAATGAATAATACATACTTTTATGCACACATCCCTGCTCATGGAAATGATTATTAACAGTCAATCCTTTCAGTTTTCACGAGATCATCACAAACTGATAAATCAGGCTTTACATGTGTCTCTCATTCTCATAGGAAAGTCTGTCCATATATTCTGAAATGTTTTCAGTGTATTGCATTTTAACCTTAAACATCTATCAGACCATCACTGAAAAATAAATTTGCCTTAGAAAACGTTCTTTTCCATTTTACACCTGGACAAAAAACAAACAAACAAAAAAACCCAAAAACAAAACAAAATGCAGTGAAATGCAGGAAAGTGAAACTTACCCATAAAATCCTCGCACTAATCATCCTGAAGTTCAAACCAGAAACTGGACAGATGACTTTCCTCCTTCACAAAGAAGGCAGCAACATCAGCCTCTAATCTGGCTGGAAACGATAGTCCGAGCTCCGTGTGCGTAATGACACCATTCGGCTCGTTACGCATTACTTAAAAACACGGGGGAAACTCCACCCCCAGAAGGGTGTGTGTGTCGTTTATTCAGGTGTGTGTGACACAGTGGAAATATATTACACCCCCCCACACACACACCTCAGAGTATCATAGGGATGGGTTCAGAAGCAGTAGGACATGTGCGCTTTGTTTCGTTTCGTTTAGTTTTGACATGTAACTGAACGCATCACATTCCTGTCATTCTTTTGGGACAATAGAAGAACAATAGAAACAGTTTACATCAAATATAGATCAGCCAGCTCCCTGAATCTGCATCTTTATATATCTACATCATATCTCCATATTACACAGTTACAGAGTGACATATTAACTGACTCCTCCGGAGAATGTGTTGCCGTTTTACACTAAAGAATCCAAATTGTGTGTAAAATACTTAAATTTAGCTCCACAGTCATAAAACGTAATATGACGTCACCGACGGGACTCGCTGTGCTGCTCACTGAGTAACTGTAACTTGCAGATTACTCAGGTTTTGAGTACCCGGATTTTCCCCCCCAACTCTATATAGACTGGTTGATACCAACACAGAAAGGAGCACTAAGAAAATAAACGAAAAAAAAAAAAAAAATCAACTCAAACACAAAATGCCAGAGCTTTAAAATCGTTCTAACACACTCAATTATACAAGTATATTAAAATGTTTAAAAAGGTGAGGCTTTTTAATTCTTATTGTCCATTATTGAGTAAATATTTTGCTTTATATACAAAAGTAAACGGAGAACTTGAATTTATGAACCACTGTTTCCTATCGGTTCCACAAAAAGAACAATTTAAATTTATATCACCTTCAAGTCTCTGATGGTAGTGGTTAGTTGGATAGAACCTATGAAGCATTTTAAAAGAAACGTTCTTTATTGGTCAGAAAGAGTTTTTGTGGTAAATGCCAGACTTTGTGCCACCAGTTATTTTCCACAAAGCTGGACCAATATGTTTGAGAAGAGGGCGAACATGTGCAGTCTCGAGGAAACAGGATCTAATAGAGAACAGCTCCAGAGTCTTCGCGTCTCCGTGTGCTGGAAGTGCGCACGCACAACAAAACAGCGTTTCTTTAAACTTGGAAAAATGGGGCTTGTTTGCCCCCTGGTGGCTTTTAATTCTTCTTCACTGTTTATCACTGTTCACGTGTTCACTTCACTGTCTATCTTCATCGTCACACACAGCCTCTCAGACTGGAATGAATTGAACATTTAAAGATTAAAACCACTGGAGACCTTAATCTCAAGGAATATACCACCTATTTGTTCATTTTACAAATTTAATCTCATACTCAGGGACCATCAGGCAATACTATTCCCATTCCCAGCTACAAACATATTATTATTATTATTATTATTATTATTATTATTTGTAGTAGTAGTAGTAGTAAACGTTCAATTTTGTTTATTACAACTTAAACTTAATAAACTTGGATTTTTGTCTCTGAATATTATCTCGCTCCTACTACATTTTTAAATTATTTAAAATAATAATTACTGTGTGTGTTTATTTTATTGAATTATTCATTTTTTATGATATATTTCATATATTGTACCTTTAGTTGCATAAATCTGAATTTTTATTCTCTCAGAATATTATCTCTCTGTCCAAGCACAATATTTTATTTATTTAATTATTATTATAATTATTTTATTTTACAACTTTTAGTTCATAAGTCCAGACTTTTTGAGCTACATATTAATTTGAATGAATTTTCCTTAGTCTTTATTTGTTTCCTCTTTCACGAGCTCTCTCTCTTTTACAATTAAATTAGATGTAATCTAATTTTATTTGTTCATGGGCCTAATGCCGACTAATGAATTCCTGCTCTCTGCACGGACTGCTCTGTGACGAACTGCTTGGTGGCTCTGTGGTTTCCCAGCGGACTGTGAACGTACCTCCCGTCAGTTGGAGCTCCGCTCTGCGTCAACAGCCGCTCCGGTGAGTGTCTCTCCGTTTGTTTGTCTGTTTTTCGGGCTGTTTCGGCACGTTACCGTGAGGCAGACTGACCGACTGGGCTGCTATGCACGCGGGGGTCCGGGGAGTCCACCTTTAAGGACTCGTTACAGTTTTTATTTTAATCCGTGAGTCGCTGAGTTAAGCGAACTTGCTCAGCACCGCTAGCTTACGTGCTATATACAAAAAGCATCGATGCGCCCATTATCGGACAGCGTTTCTCTTCTCCCTCAGCATCACTCCGTCACTCACTCAGTTTTCTGAGTTTTAAAGCGAATCCGCAGTTTCATAAATCCGTGCATTCATCTGTTTTATGTAATTAATGAAATTAGCCAGCCGTGGGCAGGCTTAGAGCAGTGGCCGATAATGGAAGCAGGGTTTCCCTCTGCAAGCGATTCCCTGATGTTTACTGAATGAGAAAGACGGATGTGTTTGGGGTTTTGTTTTTTTTAGTAGTTCTCTTCTTGTCATGTGCTTTATTTCCGTGTTTTTAACACACCGGTGCCCACACTCACCTTCTTACTAATGTCAAGTAATTGGCCAGCTAACGTTAGCTGCTCAGCTAATCCTTAGCCCAATGTAGCAGCGAAACCCGAAGCTCCGCGCAAAGACGCCGCTGTCATGCATCTTTCAGACGGCGTCAGGTGACAGCCCTTAGCTCTCTAACTTAAGCCACCGCAGGTGCTCACGTATTAATGCATTAGCATAATAGGTAACATCACGTAACGTAACGTGCTATCCGCGGCTAATCCAGTGCTAGTTGTCCACAAGACACCACCTGAGAGCAGGAGTATCTTACCTGGAAGAGTGACCTCCAGCGTACAGGTGACGCTGTAAGCGGGGTGCAGGGAGAGCTGGAGGTCGGGTAAATGAGCACACGCTGTTGCAGGTGTAATTTGCAACATATCAGGTGATATTTGTGCACATGCTGCACAAATATCACTGAGCTTGGTATCAGGTTTCTCTGAAGTACTACAGTGTGTCAGGACCACTGAAGGTAAGAAGAGGAAACCCCAGGGCTCAGAAAAAATAAAAACCTGGCAGATTAATGAGAAAAAAACAGTACAAATAAAGAAGAAAACACCTGCCACATTTATGGCAAGAGATGAGGAAATTTATCAGGAAAAGCTGGCAAATTTTCAAAGAAAAAATGGTACATCTAGGAGGAAATTTTATGAGAATAAACTGGCAAATTTCCAAGTGAAAAAATTGTGACAAAAAAGTGAAAAGAATTGCAATTTTGTGGGCAAAATAGGAAAATTTACGAGACAAACTGGCCAAAAAACCCCCCCAAATAAGTATATCTGCAATAAAAAAAATCTATGAAGAAAAGCTGCCAGATTCACACAGAGAAAGTAAAATGATTTTTTTTTTTTTAAAAAAAATCTAAATTTGCAGCTTAATTAAATTTATAAGCGAAACCCTGCAAATTCACTAGAAAAAAGTTCAATTTTTGAAAATAAAAATATCACATTTCCAATTTTA